CCTCTCCTTCTTCTTTCCACCGTTTTTCTTTCCCTTTCCGGCACTGGTGAATAGGCCGGAAGGTTGTACATCTGTACTCGTGCCGTTAGCCTTATGCCGCAATTCCCTGCTATGAAGGGCCGACCTAACTTCTTCCAGAGATACAGTATCTTTCCCAACAATGAACGATTGAACAAAATTTTCAAACGATATTGGGAGAGATACCAACAGAATCAGGGCAGCATCTTCATCCTCGATCTTCACATCGATATTACACAATTCTAATAACAAAGTATTTAATTGCTCTAAATGTTCCCTGAGTGGTGTACCTTCAGCCATTCGTAAACCGAATAGACGTTGTTTCAGAAGTAGCTTGTTGGTTAAAGATTTCGTCATGTACAGACTCTCCAACTTCAACCACAAGCCAGCAGCAGTCTCCTCGTCTGAGACCTCCGTGATAACGTCATCTGACAGACACAGCATGATCGTCGAATGTGCCTTCTCTTCCAGAGTCGCCATCTCAGGAGTAGCGACGACGTTTTTGTCTTTCGACAACGGCGCCCAGAAACCTTGTTGTTTCAACAAAGCCCGCATCTTGATCTGCCATAAACTGAAACTGTTCCTCCCTGTGAATTTGTCGATTTTCACGTTCAAAGCAGACATCTCGAAATTCTCCAAGAACACAGATTAAAAACCAGGCTCCGATACCAGTTTGTTGTGCAGAAATCGAGAATAACAAAAATAAATGAGATAAACACGACAACAGATTTAACGTGGTTCACCAACGTTGTGTTGGCTAGTCCACGGGGGAAGAAGGGGAGCAGTTTTATTTCTGATGAAGAGGCAAGAACAGAATACAGAATACCACATAGGGTTTGTGATAGCACCCATATAAATAGTGCTTGGCGAAACCCTAACAGACTTAGGCCCAAAACTACAGAATCAACAGATAATTAGAATAGCCCAATTAGAATGGGGTTCGGACATCTCAGGATTCGGACCTCTCAGAATTCGGATTTCTTGACTTCTCCGGAAGTCGGATTTCTCCGGATGCTGTAACGAGTCAGATTCAAGGCATTACAACAGGTATAGTGAGAACTTTGTGTGTGTGTGTGTAGGTTTTACACACCACCAAGGTAGAGAGAGAAATATGGGAAGAATTCTACACAAGAATACCACCGGGAAAATCCAAACGGTCTTGGTGAGTGTGGATGAGTGTAGGGAGTAACTGGTTTTAGTTACTCGGAAAAATGCATCCGGGCATAGGATGTGGAAAGATCAGTTTATAAGTGTCTGGAATTTAACCTTGTAAACAGGGGAGAGTTTTTTATATATTGTCCTGAAATAGTGGAAATATAATTTTTTCTCTCGTATATTCTTCTTTTGTTTGTTCTCTCATTTTTCTGGTGTTTTCAATATTTTTCGGTATCTTACGCGCTTAAAATCCCAACAAAATACACTAGGACACTCCCAAAAATTCCAAAACAAAAAGTAAAGAAAAAATCACAGAAATCACCAAGCACCTATAGAAGATATTTGCTTTGTTTATAGGATATAAACAAGATACTCCGTAAAATGGAGGAAAATTACAAGAACAAAGTAAGTACAGTAATTGGTTTAGTAAAGAAAACATCACAACCACACCTAAAGTTGGTATTTGTTCTGTTTTTAGGAATTAAACACAAATAAAACAATACAAGATTAATAAAATAAGTAACTGGGATGGTGTAGTAAATTGACCTGCTTTAAATTGCAAAAACCTTCATAAGCGGCAACCAATGAATCAAGGGTCTTCATCAGTGATAGCATCTCCGATTTATCTACTCCAGCATATAAGAGCAATTTTAGAACATTCAATTAGAAATACACAAATCCTGAAAAACAAACAGAGGATTCCGAAATCTACAGAAAACTGAATCAGTTTTACGAGACTATGGCAAACATTTATGTGAATTACATATTTACATACATATAAATGAAATCTGTGTACGTTTTGACATACCGCTATTGGGATTGAAGATATGAAGAGCAATGACGCTATCTCCAGGCCGGGCAATTTTCACCAGAGCCCAAGTCAACAGTTCCTTACTTCCCGAATCCAATTTCATCCCAACTACCGCCACCAGTCCTTTTCCGCCTCTGGACACGGCGTCACCGCCGCAGCCACCGCTCGTACTCCCGCCCTCATTCCTGCCTCCGACGGCGATACATTTCCCGGCGATTCTCATTGCGAATAGAAAAAATGCCTCTTCATCCTTCCTTTCGCAGTGGACTTTACTCTGTGAAACCGATGTTTGATCAGTTATAGGAAGAGAGATTGCTGACCGTTTTCGAGCGTTCAAAAATGTTTATATAGCCCGATTGGCATTGGTACAGTGTGTGTGGCCCCTCCTGCTCCTCCGAGGACCTGATTCATAATCTAGCGTTTATGAAATAAAATACTCCCTACTTGATTCATAATCTAAACATTTGTACTAAATACTAAAGAAAAAACTAAAGTAGGACTAAAATATGGAAAATATATTAAAATCGTACTTTCATGTTTTTTTTAAAATAAGACTTAAAATTTATTTATATTACCAAACACGGTCATGTACATTACCAAAAAGTAGAGTAATGTGCATATGTATAGTGTCACATTACATCATATTACCACAGTGTGAAGTCCTATTTCGAGAAAAAACATGAAAGTCTTATTTTGGTACTTTTTTCTATGTTTTAGTCCTATTTAGGGTGATTTCTATAAATACTACTACCTTCGTCTTAAAAGGTTCTCCTTATTTCTGTTTATTACTTTCAGTTCAATTTATTACTGGGAAGAACGTTTTAGGATGGATGGAGTAATAAAACGTATGTCATTTCTCGATATAGTACTTAAATTCATTTATTCTCGATATAGTATTTGAATAATGTTTACCCGGTGGCATTGTACATTTAATTAATTGAACAATGACACGTTGACAATGACCAGTAATACTATATTGGAAAAGTCACTATGTTTTAGTACTATTTAGATAAATCTCCAAAAAGAAAATTTAATCTTTCATGACAATTTTTTGTGCCATAGCAACATCTTTATCTCTCCTCCACATCAATTTCAACCATACAATTTTATTTTTTCTAAACTTTGTGTCAAACCTAATTAGGAGGCTTTTTTGGGATGGATGAAGTATTCAGTTCTAATGTAAATTTAGTTAAATTAGTTTCATTTTAAAATATAATTTTGATATATCATAATTTTATAAAATTTAATTATTCAAAACTATGTTTAATTTGTGATCAAAGTGCTATATAATCTAAAAAATAAAGAAAATCATCCTAAATAGGAGTAAAACTACCAAAATAAGAACACCATGTTTTTATGCAAAATGGTATTTGCATCGGTTATTAGGAATAACCTATGCAAAAGGTTAAGAGCTTTTGAATTGGTTATTCCTAATAACCGATGCAAATATCCTTTTGCATCAGTTATTAAGAATAACCGATGTAAATGATTAGTGGTACGCGAAATTTTTTTAACTTTTAAATCGTTTGTTTTGCTGACCGATGCAAATGAAGGGATTTATTTGGTCGTTTTTGTAGTAGTGATATGACACTGTATGCGGATATTTCACAATAGTTTTTGATATTTTATATATTGGCATTGTAAATCCATTATGACTCTTATTTAAGGAATAAAAACATAAAATTTCTATTCGTGTATATTTTTTATATTTTACTGCTAGTTTATTCTTTTTTACAAAAAATAAACTGTTACATAGTCACGTTAAATCTTACAACTTATCCATCATGAACAATCCAAAAGGAGAAAGCCCTCAATCTTGGGAGACGTACCGTCATAGCATTAATATATGCTTAAAATATCGAATATAGTAGTGCTATTGCATATTGGAACTCGTGTGGATGTAATTCCAAATTTGTCCTTGCATTCCACACTGCTAAAAAATGTATTTAAATTGGTATACACTTCTAGAACATGGGCAACACTATCGTCATACCCAATATAACATGTATCCACACAGAAAAGCATAATCATTCCACACTGCCAAAAAATATGTTTAAATTGGTATACACTTCCAGAACATGGGCTAACACACTACTCCAAACATGGACATAACACATGCAGTGTCACAAAGTGTAGACATAACATGATCATTCCACACTACCCAAAAAAGTTAATATATAGTTCTAATTTCATTTATTAAATGTGTTTAAGTAGGGAGAAGCGGCACGACGATTCTAAGTGCTACGTACAATGAATGAGAATAACCTTCTGAAATTATGGATCGCAATAAATATGGTAAATGAAATAATTAAAATACTGCATTATAATAAAAGGGTATGATTGGAAGAGATGCTAAATGTGTGAAAAACAATAAATAATGCTATATTTGTAATATTGAGTATGTTAGAGTCTTAGGTAAGCTGATTTCTATACAAAATTATAAGACAAACTCTAAGACAATCGTAGGATTCGTAGCTTGAAAAGGATTTCGACCATAAATCATCAGAGTTTTGGATTAATGAAGGTTTGGACTTTGGCATTGCTCTTGCATCATTGCATTAGAAAACCCTACATTTTTCTTTTTCAAATCCCATATACAACCAACTCAATGAAATCTGCTACTTCCTTCGGATAGAGTCTGGCGATCGACTAGTTGCCATTATTCCTGCTGTAAGCTAACACATATTTATTCTTCTTCTTCTTCCTCGTGATATCCTCTCTCGATACCAACGTCCTCGATAATCCATCCGCGTCGCTTTCAGTTCGCCTCTTCTCAAAACAGTTCTGCTGGGCATTCTTATTGGGTTCGGAGGGGTACGGCCGATTCGGTGGCAAGGGGGCCAATTTGAGTTCGTGTTGGTCGTCGTCGGGGACGAAAACCCCATACCCATGACTTGTGTTCATGGAAGAAAGGCTGAGGGCCGTAGAAACGGTCTTGTTGTCGTCTTGGGTGATAATTCTTGAACCATTATTTGTATTATCCTTGTTCTTGGTCTTCTTGGATGCTGGCAGAGTCGCGTTTCTTTTGCGGTCTGTCCCGATCAAGGGGAGATCGGGACAGAGACCCAACGAGACGACGGGGGGATACGGATTTGGCAGAGAAAGGGTGAGAGATGTGGAATCAGTATAAGAGTTCCAATAATGTTTGGATTGCTTGGATGATTTGGAAGGAATCTTTCTTTTTTTTGGAAGATTTATTGGAGAGCAGCCCCATGAGAGGGGAGAGGGATGTGAAATTGGCGGCGGGAGGGACGAACCGGACGACGACAAGTTGAGTTCTTCTTGGCGGTGGTTGGGGAGGGAAAGGCGTAGCTCTGTAGAAACAGCACTATTATCTCCCATAGCTGGCCGGGCTCGTTAGTTGAACGTAGTCGATCGTGTGAGAATAGCTAATTAGCTCGATCAGCGTTTGTATTTATACATAAATCACGAATTCATTCATGCTAACTCCTAGTGATGGACGGAGTAAGAAACTCTGTTTTTGGCAATGCTATTTTACTTTCCCATTCCCCTTTAATTTAAACGGCTTGGCAAGGGAGAAAACTTGGGAGGTTGGCGGCGGACACCCGTGCATTGCACGGATCATTTTTATACTATTAAATTTAAATCATTTTTCAATGAAAAATATAAGATGTAATAGATCGAATATAGAGATTATATTATTTTAAGGTACAAAACATCATTGTTTTATAAATTTCGAAAGACTTTTTTTATAGACTACATTATTTGTATAATTTTTGGGAAATTGTCTTCATTGCATATCAGAATCTTCAACCCACTACGATTAGTTACTCTTGAAACTCCAACATAGAGTTGTCCATAACTAAAACATGTTGGATTATTGTTACAGAAACCTGTGATAAACCCCAATTGCTCGTAGCTTCATCATGAATGTAATGGCTGTGAAAGCTTTGTAGATGGATGTATTTATAATATGATTTTTGCATACGAGGTTAAAAAAATTATTCATTTTTCAAAGTGCTATAGCGAAGTTAAATTACTATTACTATATTTAAATTGCTTAATTTATTATATTTAAATTATTACAATTAAAATTACTATAACTAAAATGACACGATAATTAATACGGAGTATACAATTATCTAGTCACACAGTTATATAACTAATACCTTGGTTAATTATTACCTTTTTTATTAAAATTACTATAATTAAAATATAGCAAAATATAGCCATTATAAAATTACTATTATAAAAGTACTATAATTAAAATTACTATAATTAATTGGGAGAAAAACCAAAATAGCACTCTAAGAGCATTAAAATACTCTAAATAGTAGTGCTATATGTTTCGTACATGTAATTCCGATTTTGTCCTTTAATTAAACATCAAATGTTCATTATTCACTGCCAAAAATAATGATTATTTTGGACAGTGTGGTTGTTCACTCGTAATTGTGTAGTGGGCAGTGTGGTTTTTTATATGTGAGTTTTTAATGTGACAGTGTAGAATGGATATATGTTGTTATATCTTACGGCAGTGTGTAAATGTATTATTGTGTTCCTTAATTTCATGTTGTAGTGTAATGTCCATTGATTTATGTGACAGTGATTTCATGTATTAATTCTACACTGTCAAAAAATGTATGACTATTTTCATGTATGAATTCCACACTGCCCAAAAAATGTATAGCACTTTTTATGTATGAATTCCACACTATTTTCATGTATGAATTCCACACTGCCAAAAATGTATATGATTGTTTTCATTTATGAATATCACACTGCCCAAAAATGTATGACTGATTTCATGAATAATCTATTACACCAAAACACACTAGCAAAACATGAGCTTGGCTTTTTTTGGTCTTTCTTGATTTTGTATAATGTTAAAAGATGTTAGTATTAGACATATGCTGAATTTCATTTATGTGGTACTGAAAAGAAATGGATGATGAAGGTATTATGTTGTAAATTTTAAGACTTTGTAAACACCATACACTGCAACATTATGTAAAATTGTGCAACATAGCACATTGGCCAAAACATAGGACATAACACACTGCCAAAAAGTATACCTAGATCACAAGCATTCCACACTGCCAAAAATCTTTGAGCTTATACTTCATACTTTGTTTATTAAAGTTGTTCAAGCACTAGTCATTTTGGTGATTTTTTGTGTCCGTTTCCAATGGAACTCAATGAATAATTTATTACATTGGGATTTTTAGATATAAATCCCATTCGACCAAAACACACTAGGCAAACATGGTCATATGACATTTCCAAAAAGTGTAGCTAGAAGTTGATTATTCCACACTGTCAAAAAAATATCAACCCCTATTCAGTAACACGTTTCCATAGAAAATTCTTGAATGTTCAAACCAATAGCCATAGAACGAAGCACATGGCTTTTGCACAATATGAAATTCAACTCATAATTCATAACATTGGCAGTTTTATATGTATGTCTAATTTCACTACCATATTATTAATGGAAGTTAATGAAGTACATACAAATTTGTTTAGGTCGCTAACTTTTATACACTGCCATATTTTCACTCTTGTCTGCCACATTATATATAGAAGACAAATTCACTGCCAAAAAGTGTTTGCATAACATGATCAATCTGTACTGCCCATATATTTATAGCCACCATATTGAGTAACACATTTCATAACAATCTCTTTCATGGTAAAACCCTATTGTCATAAAATCAACTACAAGCTGTTTGCACAATATGAAAGTCAAATAATAGTTTATAACATTGGTAGTTTTATATGTAAGTCACATTGTCACCACTTGTTTATAAACAATTTTATGTAGTTTTTTAAATATATAATTCCTATTTTTTAATTATACAATAATTTTTACTTCTATTGATTTGAAAATAAATTCAATCAAACATCGTAAATCGAATAAGAGCCCTATTTTGGGATTAAGAAAGTATTTATAATTGGCATATTTTTATGATATAATTTTGATATATCGTATTTTTATTATATATATTTATTCAAAACTACATTAAATTGATTGACGAAAGAATTTGATAAAAAAGAGTACTATGCCACTATGCACAAAGTATACATTACGTGAGTCCGAATTTGATATAGGAGTTGAAAGAGGAATTGAAACAATTGATAGTGGGATAGATAAAAGGGATTGACAACATAAAGGGTATGATTGGAAGAGATTGACAACATAAATAGCTAATTTGGTAAAAAACAATAAGCAGTGCTAAATGCGTAGTATTAGATAAGTTAGAGTGCTACGTAGGGTGATTTCTTTAATTAATTTGACATGATAATTAATATACAATTATGTAGTCACGTGGTTTATATAATTAATATCGTGATCAATTATTACCTTTCTTGCTAGTATAATTTTAGACATTTTAAAAATGACAGTCATTTATTACCTTTCTCACTATTAAACATAAATATATATATTTAAAGAATATTTAATTCTTACACTAGTTATAGCCCATTTTATATTACTATAATTTCAGACACTTTAATTTCTTACCATCTTTAAATACTTAACATTTACTATAGTTAAATTATTTAAATTATTATCATTAAAATTACTATAATTAAAATTACTATAATTAAAATGACACAATAATTAATATGGAGTATACAATTATGTAGTCACACCGTTATATAATTAATACTTTGGTTAGTTATTTCCTTTTTTTGATTAAAATTACTATAACTAAAATATAGTAAAATATAGCCATTATGAAATATAGCCACTATAATTAAAATATAGATATTATAAAATTAAGATTATAAAATTAATTTAACTAAAATTATTATAATTAATTTGAGATGATAATTAATATTCAATTATGTAGTCACACGTAACATTAGATTTCATTAATAACGTAGTATACAATTTTAATTAAAATTACTATAATTAATTTGACACAATAATTAAGATTTAATTACTATAATTAATTTGAACGGTAATCACACGTAACATACAATTTTAATTAAAATTACTATAATAAAAATCACACGTAAGATTCCAATTTTAATAAAAACTTACGCTTTCCAATTTTATAACATACCTTTCTTGCTAGTACAATTTCAGATGTTTTAAAAACGACAGTTAATTATTATAAAAAAATTATATTAACTTCACAATTACCATATGTAATATACATACTTCATGCACAGATTAAAAATGAACACTATAATTGCGGACACTTATCATTTATATAGGTAAAAATTGCACGGAGTAATAATTATTATACTTTTTGGTTATTACCTTTATTGCTATTAAACATATATATATATATATATATATATATATATATATATATATATATATATGGGTGGTTGACCATATTAATTTTTTTGCGAAACTCTGTATATAATTATTCTTACCATAATTATATTATACTATGATCATACACACGTTTTTAATAACATCGATTGGCGTGTATTAAATTTTATAAATATTTTTTATAAATATTTTTTGCCTAATAATAATAATCGGTCTTAATGAATTACCTTTTTTATTTAATTCGTAATTATGTCGGTCTACATTATTACCATTTTAAATAATAATCAGTCTTATTAAATACAATACTTTTAAATTTTTATCATTAAAGGAAAAAAAGTAAGGCTGAAATTACCAGTTTTAAAGTAAGGAAATAAATTCCGGAAATTACCTTTTTTATTTAATTCGTAATTACGTCGGTGTACATTATTACCATTTTAAATAATAATTAGTGTTATTAAATATAATACTTTTAAATTTTTATCATTAAAGGAGAAAAATTTTAAAAATGGTAATTTCTGACTTTTATTTCCTTACTTTAAAATGGTAATTTTAAATAATTATGATAGTTAATTATTAGAAATATAATATAATAATTAAACTTATAAAATGTAAATATATATTACTATACTTTCGGACAGTTACCACTTTAACTTCATATTACCATATGTAATGGTCATAGTCTTTTGGCCGGAAAACACAATATTGACTTAATGTCTTTTTAAATAAAGTATGGATGTTAAAGTTACACACAATATATATGAAAGTCATTATATTTTAGTGCTATTTAAATAAATTCCTCACATATTTTACCATCTTTATAGTTTCACTGAGTTTAATTGGAACATGTGTGGTGTCTACTACACTCTGTTTGTAAAATTGAAAGTCTTTACCTCCTTCCATTACATGTGGGTCATACATATTTTTTCTTCCGAAAATAATTTATTTTATCTACACACTTTTTTAATTTAATTTTTTTAACTTTACATTATTTATCTAATTGCGGGCTATAACTATTTCATCGTCAAGGTTCTGTTGATACTGGTTTCTAGTGTCAACGGATGACACGCGTTCATTTGGAGCTCCTTCGGTATTGGGAGTGGGGTGAGGGGTTTAGGGATGTGATAGGGGGATAGGAACCA